TCAATAGGATTACCTGAACCTATACACAGTAACGACAAATTGTATAGATTGTATGACTCACAAGGTTGTACAAGTGTGTGCATTATTATGTACACAATACAATGTGCATTATTGTGTGACAGCAGGGTTAAATAAAAAAAATGTAGTATACACAAAATTCCACTTTATTTCTTCAAATATTAACTGCTTTTTCGTGTCTCATTCTCTTTTTGATATATGTCTATGTATATATATATAGTGTCAATGATTTTAACTTTGATTAGGTTGTGTTTTCGTAAAACAGTTTTTATATGTCTATATACAATCAATATCTGATGAATAAATGTTTAATGTTTTTTTTTCAAATACTCAACAGATTTATTTTACAAATTCATTCCAAGATTATGATATTTCCATTATTGAAAGGTAGTACACCCATTGTTTTTTTTTTCATTATAGACTAAAGACATTTTTCTTTGTTTTGTTTCAAATATTTTTAAAACTATTTGTGTTAACTAGAAAAAGAAAAAAAAATCATTCCATTTTTCTCATCTTAAATGATATAAGTTGTGGCTTCATATGAATCTTTTCATATTTTTTTCCAATTTTGACTTTTTTTTCAAGTCAGTTTGTTTTATTTGTAATGTCTATGCAAAATAGTTTTGAATGTCTGTATACAATCAATATCTGATAATAATTATAATTATTATATGTCATAATAAATGTTTTAAATTGTATACTTGTCTTTTCTTATAAATTTACTGGTTGCTCTGTAGCAAATGGAGGCTCCGCGTCATCCCCAAGGTCAATTAGTACAACAACAAACAGAAAACAAACAAAAAAACAAGAAATTGTAAAACATTTTTTATGTTTCATTAAATGCTAATGTATTTCAATTTCAAAAGTATTTTATTGACAATACATATATAATACAAACACATAAGTTAACATTAAAGAAGATATTAGAACAGTATTGACAAAAGAATAAGACAACAGGCTTTGCCTATATCAGTATTTAAAATGTTGTGATTCGTTTTCCTCTCACACTCATGCACACCCACACCCACACCAGCTTATGTCTAATACTCGTTATTTAAGGGATAAAACTTGCCTGAATAATAATAATAAAAACAATACATGAATATTCATTTGGAATTTATTTACCACGTATAAGTAACGAAACGTTTTGATGATTTAATATAAGAGTCAACATGTATAAGAATAGTTTTATTTATTTGGTCCGATGCATTACTAATACCATATACTAAACAGTGCAGATTTAAATATCCTAATAGATTATAAATAGTGGTAATATGATGCCTAATATTTGAATACAGAGGACATTGAAAGAAAAAATGTATTAGATCTTCCCTCTGTACACCACATACACAGGAAGCATCATCAATCAGATGGTCTTGTAACTTATCAAAGTTAAGATCACTTTTAAAATTTCTTAGCTGACATAAAATGATGTTAAGTTTCCTCGGAACACAGTTAATAAAAGTTTCTGAGACGGATGTATCAAAGTTTTTTTNGAGTATGGTGTTCATGTTGTGCAATTGGAGTATTGTTAAATAGCAGTTCAGGATGATTGTTAATGTGTCTACGAGAGAAGTTAATAGCTACAGTCTTATTCGGATTGAATAGGATCTGCCATCGCTTTGACCATTCGGAGATTGAGTCAAGATCATCATTAAGCATGTTAGTAGGTGTTGTAAGGTCATTGCTATTATTTACTATTACATAGAGAGAGGTATCATCTACAAAGAGTTTTATATGAGAAGTTATATTATTAGTAATATCATTAATAAAAAGAAGAAAGAGGAAGGGACCAAGGACAGATCCTTGAGGAACCCCTGAAGAAATAGGTTTGGTACTAGATTTATAACCTTCAAAGATAACCATTTGTTTTCTGTCAGATAAGTAAGCTTTAAACCAATTGTATAATTTACCTTTAATACCATATGTTTTTAGTTTATATAATAGGCCCAAAATGCCATACTCGATCAAATGCTTTACTTATGTCACAGAAAACAAAACGCAAATATTTACCTTGGTCTAAATTGTATGAACATACCAGCATTTGTAATGGACATGCTTATGCGAGTAGTTAATTGTTTTAAATAAATCCATTGCTGAATGTTTAATGCAATACCTCGAATGGTTGCTTTGTTGTTGATGAATTGTCTAAGGTCAATGCGTACTTGCCCATGATAGCGACAAACGGAAATGACATATCCATCATGTAAAGGGTACTGTTTCAGATATCAGCACAGAGTGGTGTTGAAGTCATCTGGTGGTGACGCTGATTTGATATATCGACTTCTGTTGTTAATCTCTCGGTAATGGCAAGTGACGTACACATCATGGCCAAGAGTACAACTGTTCCCGTTAATTTGAGTATGGTGATGTGTATCCGGTATTTGCCAGATATGGAGTTCAAACTGAACGATATACTTTGTGTTGTTAAACTTCTTGCCAACATAACAATTTCCGGTATACTAGTTTCAGAGATCATGATCCTTCGGTTGATTGTTACAGAATGAGGTGTCCTTCACTATTTAGCTACTTATATCTCTTATCGGATGTGTCTTTGTTAAAACGTATCGTTAAATATTGTTACCTGCTAAAGAAAGTTTCTCTTTTAGGAAAAAAATAACAGCATGGTATATTTCTATCGATTGTAATAAGGAATGCTCCCTTAACTATGGAATGAAATGAATTATTTTTGAATAACAATCTAGAGGGGTTGGCGCTGGTCTGTTTAAGGATTACGTTCTGTGGTTAAGTAGGTCAGAGTTCTGGTATGTGTAGTTCTGTAAGCATAATTGATACGTCCCTAGATCATGTCTCTGACTTATAAAGTTTATGCTGGTGTGAGTTAGGTGGGAATAAGGCGTGAGTAGTGTGTGAGTAAGGTGGGAGTAGTGTGTGAGTAAGGTGTGAGTAAGGTGTGAGTATTGTGTAAGTATTGTGTGAGTAGTGTGTAAGTAAGGTGGGAGTAAGGTGGGAGTAGTGAGGGAGTAAGGTGTGAGTAAGGTGCGAGTATTGTGTGAGTAAGGGTGGGAATAAAGTGTGAGTAAGGTGTGAGTAGTGTGGAAGTAAGGTGTGAGTAAAGTGCGAGTATCATGTGAGTAATGTGTGAGTATTGTGTGAGTAATGTGCATGTGCGAGCGCAGAGACCCTTAAAACTACCCTACTCACAAACACCTACATTAGACTGTTGACGTAACACTTCCTCAGAAATCAAGTCCAGTCAAGATAAATAAGATAAATATTAAAAAAATAATCATGTTTGTGAGGTGTAAACAACTTCATAACGAGCACTGCTTTAATATGTTATTTGCATTCATAGCCTTACGCATCGATATATAAACAGGTGTGAAAGTTAAGTGTATAATTTACAAAATTATCTAAAACGTGGTATGGCAGGTTTTGTCTATTGTATTGGAGGTAATTTAAATGCCTGGCAGCTGTGAACACGTCAGATTTGTTTTCAGAAGCTGATATCATTAATAATTTCTTAAGCAAATCTCAATAATTTCATAACTAACGCGCAATTGAAAGCTTTAAACTTTTTGATGTATTGGTTTTGTGCATTCATTAAAACCGCAACCTTCCCTAAGTCAGCATTTTTAAAAACGGAAAAAATATGAATGAGTTAATAATTTCTAGTAGCGAAAAGGCATAGAACATATACAAAGTCAATTCTTAGATATTAGGTATTGTTAATACGATTCTGCAAATATAGCCATATTCATTATATCTAAGAAAGTGATGGGGTTTCCCCAGACTTAAAAAATACTTTCAACACTTTCCCATCCGAGGACCAAATTTTGAATAATGGAAATGTTGCCCTACTTTGAGAAAGTGCTCAAAATAATGAAAAACAGGGGTGAGTGGTAAGTTCTACAATGAATGGAGCTAAAACAATTTCCAATGTGATAAGAAAAGCAAAGGGAGAATGTAAATATAAATGCAAAGGTTAAAACATTTTAAAAATGGAAATAAATCTTGAAAGAAAAGGTCAGTTGTGCTATACATATTTCTATAGTGTAGTGGTCATCACACTCGCCACTTTGTGGTGGGAGACCAAGGTTCAAATCCTAGTGGAAATAATAGTACAACTTGAAATTATGTAAATACTGCAAACATAGCTAAACATGAACAACTAATTATATACAACTCGTTTCCCATTACTTGGTACATCTTATATAAATATATGTATCCTCGTTCTTAACTGCATTCATACAAGAACAGGCCATTCGAACATCTTGGTAGGCAGTGAGTATTACATTTATGATTTGTGAACTTCAGCTAGAATATGTATGTTTTTAATTATCAAAGTCTTGGTGTTGACCTGTTATGAATGCCTTTTGTCCGTCATAGTAACCACTTCAGTTAAATTTTAAAGGAAAGTTCCATGGTCAAATGCAAGCCAAATTTATGAATAACATCTAATCTTCCAGGGGTTTGAGCTCAAAAGAGGTCAAATTGACTAAATATTCAACAGTCTTCTTATTCAGGCACCGTCTTGCTAGAAGCAAATACTGGAAGGTCCTGAAGACATATTTAAAATTTATGAATATATTGCTACCTCTGAATCATTCATTCCTCCTTGAGAAAGGGTTTATGTTTAGGCTAAAAAAATGTGTTTCAGGCAATATTCCAGAGAAAAATAGGGTTGGTCAGTAAGCAGGCAATTGTTTTTTTTTAATTTAATATTTCCATGGATCAATATATACTTACAGGGTAATAACAAATGTAAGAAAATTAATTTCTATGCATTTCAATGGTTATTATTCTGTCAAAAATGTGGTCAGGATTCCATGACCATTACAGGAAGAAAGTACATGAGATTTTTGCCGGACTATTAAAATGATCTTCATGGATACCATGTAGGTGATAAAATGTTCCCTAAGGTCCACAGGAATATCCGAAGCATATGCAATCTTGTTTTTGGCCTTACTGTAGTTTATATGGGGAAATAACACTTTTGGGTATATTTTGTTTTCTTCCAGGGGAACAAATTCAAAGATGGTTGGAATGACTATCAATTGACTGAAATTGATGGTATGAAAAGTAAGGACCTGGCCCTTCCCTAGGGCCTGGTGAGAGAGGCCAAAGAGGGCAAATTGGCTGAAATTTCAACAATCTTCTTCTTCAGATCCAGATATGCTAGAATCAAACACCCTACATGGATTGAAAGGTCCTAAGTCGCTATAAGGTATATCTGAAATTGTCATTTCATTACCCCCGTGTCATTCATTCCCCCACTATATCATTTGTTTCTGAAAATTGTCATCGATATATACTGATGTCAGACAATTATGTACCCGCCATAAATGACAAATGAATAATATTTGTTGGTTACTCCCAACATGAATTTTTCTCAAGGAATTCTAAAAGCCTTTTTTGGATTATATGAAATTTTAGTTTGTTTTTGTTTGAATTTTACATCACTACAGCAAATAACATAATTGCATTACAACTCAGGTCCGTGTATCTCTTGTATAACTTAGTGAGATCACTGTTGTTTATAGATAATTTCTGTGCTGTAATTGCAATGGTTCTGTTTATATCTATTGCAGCATCTGGCTTCGAAAGATACTGGTACAGTGGTATCGTGCTTAAGGTTCAAAATATGTTCACGATATAAGGCTTTTTTACATTAAAATGTAAATTATGAAATTGTTTTATCATTTGGTTATTTAAAAGGAATAAATATTGCTTCTCCAATATTGGAATATTGAGAAATTGAATGCTGGTTTAGAGTAACAAAATGGGAACCATAATTATATATAATTACTTAATATTGATTTAGAATCATCTTTCATAACTACTTAATACTGATTTAGAATCATCTTTGAGATAATTTTTATTGCGTTTGCATGTCACCTACAGACCAGGTAAAGCTTGTAAATGAGAGATGTTGTAACATCATCAGTTCTTTATTGTTTGTCTGTGTGTACTTAGAAATTACCATGCTCTTTGCAGGTTATGAAAAGATTAATACACTCGTACTAACTGTGATTGCTCCTAGGGACCTGTCACTCCAGCATGGTGACTTTATAACATTGAAATAGTTGAAATCAGTATCCTATAATGAAAAACACCTACTGGCAATCCATAGACAACTACCAAAGTTTTTCCCATGTCTGCTACCACCCAGGAATGCAATCATGCTAGCCCTTTCAAAGGGTCATACATGGCCGAGATATACAACATTGTAATTAGTGAACTATAGTTTGAAGGTTGTTTCAAAAACTTATGTTTCAAAGTAAACATGGACATTTTTAGCTCACCTAACTGAGCTTATGCCATAGTTCGGCGTCCGTCGTCCGTCGTCTGTCGTCCTATTGTCCGGTGTCAACGTTTTACTTTAAACAACATCTTTTCAGTAAACAAAAAGCCTAGGATGATGATATTTGGCAAGTAGCATGGTGTAATCAAGGGCTACCAAGTTTGTTCAAATAAATCAGCTTCATTCATTTTCAAGGTCACAGGGGTCAAATATTTTAAAATATTTGAACGAATTCTTCTGAATAACAAAGAGGCCTAGGGTGATGATATTTGGCCAGTAACATGCCGGGATAAAAGCCTACAAAGTTTGTTTGTTCTTGAATACCCAAGAGGCCTAGGATAACGATATTTGATCAGTATCATGCTGAGATGAAGGGCTACCAAGTTTGTTCAAACGAATGAATGCCACTCATCTATTTTCAAAGTCACGGGGGTCAAATATAAAAAACAACTTTAAACAACTTCTTCTCAATATCCAAGAGGCCTAGTGTGATGATATTTGGTCAGTAACATGCTGGGATAAAGGCCTACAAAGTTTTTTCAAACAAACGACCTTCACCCATTTTTAAGGTTACAGGGGTCAAATATGTTTAAAACCTTTAAACAACTTCTCCTGAATACCCAAGAGGCCTAGGATGGTGATAGTTGGCCAGTATCATGCTTGTATGAAGGGCTATCAAGTTTGTTCAAACAAATAACCTTCATCTATTTTCAAGGTCACAGGGGTCAAATATATTCAAAACCTTTAAACAACTTCTTCTGAATGCCCAAGAGACATAGAATAATGATATTTGACCAGTATTGTGCTCAGTTGAAGGGCTCCCAAGTTTGGTCAAACGAATGAATGACATTCACCCATTTTCAAAGTCACGGGGTCAAATATATTAAAAACCTTTAAACAATTTCTTCTCAATAACCAAGAGGCCTAGGGTGATGATATTTGGCCAGTAACATGCTGGGATGATGGCCTACAAAGTTTGTTCAAACAAATGACCTTCACCCATTTTCAATGTCACAGGGGTCAAATATGTTTAAAACGTTAAAACTACTTCTCATGAATACCCAAGAGGCCTAGAATGATGATATTTGGCAAGTATCATGCTTGTATGAAGCGCTTTCAAGTTTGTTCAAACAAATGATCTTCAACTTTTGTCAAGGTCATATGGGTCAAACATATCAAAAACCTTTAAACAGCTTCCTCTCAATAACCAAAATGCTTAGGATGATGATATTTTGGCCAATAGCATGCTAAGATAAAGGGCTACCAAGTTTGTTCAAACAAATGACCTTCGTCCATTTTTAAAGTCACATGGGTCAAATATGTTTAAAACCTTTAAACCCTTCTTTTCAATAACCAAGAGGCCTAGGATGATGTTATTTGGCCAGTAGCATGCTGAGTTAAAGGGCTATTAAGTTTGTTCAAATGAATGACCTTCGCTCATATTCAAGGTCACAGGGATCAAATATGTTTAACTCTTTAAATGAATTGTTCTGAATATTCAAAAGGTCCAGGGTAATGATATTTGGCCAGAAGCATACTGGGACGGAAGACTATAAACTATGTTCAACTTGATGTCCTTGTTCGATAGATTCTAATGAATCGAACACAGATATTTTGCCTGCAGCTGTATATGTGTCCACTTTTAAGATTACAAGTGTTAGGTTAATACCAGCTGAACGATTAAGGCCCATTGGGCCTCTTGTTTTATTAGCCTGTGGCATTGGGCTTGGCAATTAAGGCAAACATGTAGATTTTCATGAACCGGAAAAAGTACATTGTTTGATAAATTTGTTAGTCCCCGAAGGGTTCTCGAAGGGATATAGGTTTGCACTTCGTTCGTCCGTCCGTCCGAGAAGTTTGTCAGGGACATATCGTTTAAACTATTTCACCTGGAGTAACCATATTTGGTGTACAAGGACATCTTTGGATGGCAGAGTGAAGAGTGCAAGAAGGTCACTTTCACCTCACTTTGTCATATGAGTTGACCTTTGAACTTAACTTTTGAAAAAACTTGGTCCGGGGCATATCTCCTCTATTATTTCACCTGGAGTAACCATATTTTATTTCCAATGACATTTTGGGATGGAGGAGTGCAGAGTACAAGAGTTAGGTCACTGTGACGTATGCCTTGACCTTTGACCTTTACTTTTGAAAATATTTGTACGGGGCATATCCTCTATGCTATTTCACTTGGAGTAACCATCTTGAAGTGAGTGAAGTATGTCACTATGACCTCACTGTGACCTATATGCTTCCTGACATAAGTGTACTGTTTGTGTATAGAAATTCTTACTTGTGACCATAAGGGTCTATGGATTGCCTTGTTAATAAATATTTTCTATGCACAGTAGATCCTATTTCTTTCATTTTGTCTTGAAAATGTTGCCCTAAATGGATCAGGCGATATATTGACAAGGGTGTTAAAATAATAGTAAATTAGTAACATGAAAAAGGCCTACATGGAATATCTGACAGGTTTTATTAATTAAAATTTATTTTTTTCAAACTACCAATCATTTCATTTTCATGGAAGATTATTCAGCGCACGTATGTCCTAAGGAGGGATTCTGTTCGTTTTGTGTCCTTAAAGTTCTTAGCATGGGCGCCGCGGGCGCCCGAGATCTACACTAATCATCACAAAGGTTACTGAACTATGTACACTCGCTTATAGGCAGTGCCTATTAAGTAAAGTTTCTTCTAATATCTATATAATACGCTCTCCTTATATGGCACGAATAACGGAATAAACATACCGACAAAAAAAAATATCTTAATAATATCAAGGATGAATCTCCATCAGATAAAAAAATCGAATATGTCTGGTCCCTTTGTACTTTTCGACCATAACAGGAATTTCACAAAACAAACAGTCTGGATATTTATATGATTATATGCTGTGGGTGATATGTGGACATTTGATGGTGGTATTGTTCACAAAGATACATGTTAGTATTAAACATAAGATAAAAAAAGAATAGATAAAATCTCATAGTAATATGATCAGGGATTTATGATATTCTTAAAATATGTATCATCTATGAAAATCTTACACATTTAATACTAGCATGGATAAAGTAAAGTTATGCCTTTGTCCCATTTGTCTTTTTATCATGTTATGTACTTTTGCCTGGCATTTAAAATGTAAATGTTCAGGTCCTCCGCTAGAATCTATTTTAAGACAATATTTATTGCTCTGGTAATGTACATATAAAGTTGAAAAACAAACTGTCTTTACTTTTAACTTAGAGAATACTCGAACCCTACATAAAATCCACGACAGCGCTATCAAGAAGGAAATAGCGAAGATGCTGTTACATTTTAAGCCTATGCAAGGAGTAGCGTTTATGGGTGCTACAAACATCACTAAGTTTGTATTTAATCAGACTGGACTGACTCCCATGACTACGAAAACATGCCCTTTACAATATTTACCGGTCCGACTGCCTGCGGACAATACATGTAGATTATATGTTTTTTTAAATGCCTTTAAAGTGTTCGATATCCTGTAATCAAGGGATCAAAACTATACAGCTGCCATTGACAACATTAGTTAAGTACTATTCCCAGAGACATATACTGCAGGGACTAGAGCCTTTCATTCTTAGAGAACTTAAAGATACAACGATATATACTGATTTGAGAATGAGAGCCTACTTTGCCGGTAATTGATAGTAAAGGTCATTGTTCAAAGAGAAAGAGGAAATATGTTATCGCAACAAAATATTTAAAGTATCAAATGTACATTCGCTCTCTTGACTACACTGTCTTTCTTCAGTCCTAACCGTTGTTTATACATTTTGATTGAATGCACACATACAGTGTACTTCCATTCATGACACATAATAGAAAAAGCCATGCTGTGATTGAAAAAAAACCAATTTCAATGTCAACCATTACACAATATTATTACAAACTGGTAATAC